AACGTCGATCCTAGCTTAGCTGTTACGCTCCAAACATAAGGAAACTTGACTTTTGCCAAAAAAAACAGACTTAAATCTGAAAAAAGCTGTGTAAAAGCATTCAATATACTTTTGAATCAATATTTTTATGCATAAACTTTGTAAATAAACAAAAAAACATCTACTAGTGCATTTTGTTAATCGAAATCGAAGAATAAATTTTCCAAGCATTTTGACCCCTTACGGCCGGCTGTTGCCAAATGGCAACATTCACAATTTCTATTGTCTGGATTTACTGAACAATTCAACTTAATAATGCAATATGCATTACATCTAAAAAGAAAAAAATACCACTAATGGTTTTCGATATGGAACCTATAAGTGTGGAGAAAAATTTCTTTTACGATCGAGTAGCTTCTGAGGGTGTTCTACATAAACTCGGCCATATTCTCAGCGGAAAGTTCTTTTTTTATATTAAATGCCATGAGTGTCTCCCGAAATGTATTCTAATAATTATCGAATTGTTAAAAAACTCTATAACTTTACTATAAGTAAGCCATTCTCGAAATTTTGACTAAATGTTGCCAAATGGCAACAGCCGGCGGTAAAGGGTTAAATAATATATCAAAAAAAATCTTTTATTACTATAACTTTGAAATTAGTAGTAGAGGTTTTATTTCGTTTTTATTTTTAAACTGTTAACATAATAGAGATTAAAATTATGTAGGAGAGATCGTCGAATTTTCTGATGAACGAAATTCGATTTGTTCAATGAAAAGTATCAATCGATTTTTGTTAAGCAATTTATCAGAATATTTCTAAAGGAAGATCAAACGTTGGTTAGAAATAGCTTATAGATACTCAATTTTGGTCTACATCGTAGGATATATCATCATACTACAACGAATGACAAATGAAACTTGTTCAAAACTGTCCATATATCCATCCTTCTTAGAACATTTGTTTCAGTTCGATTCTAATAACTATTTTTTTCATTTTTCTAAATCAGATGATTTTAGTCGATAAAAAAGAGAAAAATGTCGATTTCTCAATTTTATTTGATGCTACACATCATCAAAGTTTAGTTCTAGCTTTTTGTCTTTGGATATGCACTTCGGTACACTTAATTGTCACTGATATGAAAAAGTTCCTTCTAACAAAGATCGATTTAGTTCTTCCTCTCAGTAAATAGAAGCTCATCCGATCTGAACAAATGCAAAATAACAATGTATATCATCGAATTAATTAGATCATCACTTTCACCTGTTTTGTTGTAACTTCTGTGACATATCTAATATCGATTATTTAACATGTTTTCTATTAACGAACAAACGAATTTCTTTTCTGAGCCGAAAAATGTCTATACATCAACATTAATAATAGACAACTGTTCAGAAACTGACAAATAGGAAATAGGCATGTTTTAATACCATGATGTTGAGATTCTTTTGCTGTTATCAGATTATACATAGTCTAGAAATGAAACAATGATCAATTGAGAGAAAGGTTTTCGAACTCGAAAAACAAAATGCGAGTATGAGATTCATTATTTCTACACTCATAAGATCTGAATTACCTATTTCATAAAAACGAATAGCCTTCATTTGGTAGTAAAGGGTTTACTTTATATTTCTTTCCGTCGTCTGTCAGACGACAGTATATAGAGGTTTTTTCTCAACTCTTCTCAAGCTCGATACTTTCTCAAACCAAAGTATTGCAATAAGCGCAGTTTAGCATATCTATATTAAAATTTACAAAATAATGATGGCAGATGTGAATGTATGAATGAGAAAAGTAGTATAATGAACGCATCATTCAGGTTATATGAAAACAAGGAACTGAAAAAAGTATACAAGTCAATATTTAGTTCATTCACATAATTATCATAGCTCGTATCAAAGTTCTCACGAGGGAGGGTCTCCAAATTACGGACTCCATATTATGATTACGAGGTAGGTCTCTATGAGACTAAGAAAAGTCTGAAAGGATTCGTGCCTATGGCATATCGACGAAGAGTTATGACCGTTTTACTGAATTTTGGGCCTGTGGTAAGGGATTTCCGAAAAGACCGAATTAAAGAATATCGACCTGAAATTTTGTCCATAGATAGGTCTAATGGTCATTAGAATTGTCTAAAAGTTTCAGCCCAAACGAACGTTCCTTTCTCGAGATATTGAATTTGGTTTTGGTGATCTGTCTGTGAAAAGTGACTATTTTTTGACAATTGAATATCTCGAGAAAGGAACGTTCGTTTTGGCTGAAACTTTCAGGCAATTACAATGACCATTAGACCTATCTATGGACAAAATTTCAAATCGAAATTCTTTAATTCGGTCTTTTCGGAAATCCGTTGCCACAGGCACGAATCCTGTTTGGCTTTTCTTGGTCCTACCTCGTTGTCATTATATGGAGTCGAACAGCGTCCTTAAGTTGGGGACCTTCCTTCGTCAGACAGTTTGAAAATTTGACGGAATCTTATAGACTTCTGTGCTTGTGAGGGATTTTCGGGTTGAAAAATCCGAAATCGATTTGATAGTCATATAAAAATCGAAGTGACGTAGTTATTAAAAGATTCGAGTATAGAATTATTCGACCTGAAATAATGAATATAGGATGGAAGGCTTTAGACATAGATTCTCATTTTCAATAACATATTGTACTAGTCGATGACTTCAGTCTAAATCCTATTTGAATTTCAAATGCTTGACAATAAACGAAATCAAATCTAAATAAAAATCAATGAATCAATAGTTTAACCTTTAGCACCGGATTGAATTAAAAATTGTAAATTATTTTCTTGAAATTGTTTAAATAAATTTGACATAGATTGTTTAACAATTTGATTTTGATATTCATCAATATCAATTTTATAATTAATATCCATTTCTTTTGATATACGTTCATCAAATGATTTTGAACAAAATCCTTTAGCAAATTGATTAATAAGTATTTGTTCATTTGAATCTTCCGAAAGAGAAAATGTTTTTTGTAAAGCTTTTTGACCTGCTTGAGCACGACATTGATTTATTAATCGACGTCGATGTGATACACCAAGTGAAAGTAAAAGAACATCTAAAACAACAAAATATTTATTTCGAGATCAAAAACAAAAATTTTTATTACCGTTCAATTCCAAGTGTAAATCCTCGATAATATTGTAAAAAAAAGTGTAAATAATTTCGAAAAAGTAGTAACAAGATCAGCAGCACAACGTTTTCCATATAATTCATAATAACAATGAACAACAGATGCAAGTGTTGAACTACAATGTGCTTTATCAATTAAACCAGATAGAAGATGTCCATGACGAATAATAACATCTGTATTAGCCATTAAATCAATATTTGTTACATTTGATTTTGATGGGCATGACTATAAGAAATATTTTTATTATTTTATTATTTATATATTTATTTTTTTTTACTTTCATTGAAAGTTTTGATTTACTATCGAGATTAAATGAAGCTTGATTAACTGGTTGAATATAAAGAAGTATTCTTGAAATAATCTTAATAAAAAAACAAATAGATTTTATTAATAGAAACAAAGAAATACTTGTTTTCCAGTCCATAATTGTTTTGGTTTCCAAATACATGGTGGTAATAAATGAATTTTTCCAAGAGAATGTCATCCAATTGCATTATATACAAGTTGTTGATAATCAGATGTTAAAATAAAAAAGAATTTATATAAATATAATTTTATAACTTGAATAAAATAAAATACTTTTCAAAAAATCGATCACGCATTGTTAATGTTCTACCAGCAAGAACATGATCTTGAATAAGACCAGTTAATGGTGTTCCATCTTTACTTACAAGAAAATGTTGATACGTTATCACTAAAAATACAACAAAACAAAATTTTTTTTTTCCTTGACAAAAAAAAAACATATATATGCTTAATTCAGTAGGTTCAGCTCGTGTTAATTCATTTTGTGATAAATGAATATTCATTTTCATTTCATCACCATCAAAATGAGCATTATATGATTTACATTGAGCATAATTTCATCTTAAGGTTTTTTCACCAGGTTATACTCGAGCCTAGAATTAATACAATTAAAATATCATTCAAAGAAGAAAAAAGAAAAATGTTACCATATGAGCTTGTATACGTTGCTCGATGTAATGTTGGTTGACGATTAACAAGAACATAATCACCGGTTCGAATATGTCGATAACACTTTTTTTCTAAACATTAAACTTGTATTACTATGTTCTTTTTCTCTTGTTAATTAAAGTTTAGCAACAGCTGTTCGTTGAAATAAATTATTTGGTAATAAACGACGAATTGTTCCATCTTCAAGTTCAACAAAATTTCCTCTAAAATAATCGTTTTTTTATTGTATATCATCAAAGAATTTTTTGTGTTATACCCAGGATGAACATCTGGTTGATTAAGAATTAATTGACGTAATTCATGAAGATTATCTCGTGTAACTAATTCTGTATAAGTTAATTTTTTTCCAAATATTGTCAGGTATTCCAACTTCATAAATTTCAATAAATGGATCAGGTGATATTACTGATCGACCAGCATAATTAACACGTGTTACCCATCATATACATACGAAATAAACCTTCTGTTTTTTTCAATAATCTTTTATTATTTTTTCAAAAAATAAAATTAATTTTTACAATAAAAAAAACAAACAATAACATACTTGTCGAATACCTTTGGCTACTCGAGCACCACTTCGATTATCTAATGAACTATCAAATATAGAATTAACAGTAATTTCTATTTTAACCCAAAGATTATTAAGTTTTTCTTCATTTGTTATACGACGTAAAGTATTAGTTAAAGAAGATCGATTCTGAATATAAAGAAAACAAAAATGCAGAATTACAATATGAAACACGATGAAGCTGTTGATATTATAAAAGAAGCGATTAATCAATATATATGTTTCAGTTTAGGAAATTTCACCTAGTGCTAATGCATCTCAGTGTTGGAACGATATTGACTTGGATCTCACGATTATATTGGGAAAGAGAGAGAGAGAGAGAGTGAGGTCCAAACTTCTACTTCTATGCTTCAACATTCCTTTTAGATCACGTTTGAAAAATAATAAAAATATCTTAGAGTAGTTGATGTTGATATGTCTGTAGTTTGTTTATCTTTTAATAATAAAATTTCTTTCATATATTGATTATCTTGAATAATTGTTGAATATCGAACTGTTTTTGGATTTTCAAATTTTTGTGAATTAAATGATAAAACCTTAGAAAAGATAAATTTTAAATTTTTTCTTTTCTTTTCTTTTTAATATAATTAAATACATACAGAACGAAATTTTCAAGGTAAAACAGGTAAAACTTGAAAAAAGAATAAACTTATTGAATTATTATGAACATGTCTTATTGAATGATGTGATGATCGTAAAGTAGCTAAATAAATTGCAAGTACTTCTTTTTCATTTGTCCAAATTTTTTCTAAATCTTTTAATACATCTAATGGTGTTAAATACATTTGACTGGACATCATTTTTGTTAACATTTCTTCTTCATCATTATCTATTGATTCATCATTATCATTCACTTTTTTTGATTGTCTATAATCAAAAGAAAAAAAAAAAAGATTTGACAATGTATTTACGTCTCAGTGAAGGCTTTAAGAATCTATGGTAACTATAATAGAAATCAGTGAAATTTCGTGGATTTTATTGAGTCCACAATCGAAACTAATGAGGAGACTTCACAAACTGGAAAAAAAAAAACGTTTCGATCTCATGTCTTACCAATAACTGGGACTACAGAAGTTCGAAACGATTTGCCTCTATAAGCCTTCCCACAGTATTATAGCCGTTTCCCTGGAACTTCATCCTATAACAAACAATCGAATTAAGGAATTTCAGTCTGAAATTTATCCATAAAAAGGTCATATGATCTTTAAAGGATCCTAAAAGTTTCAGACAGAATGGTTGCTCCGTTTTGTCTTAAACTTATTAATTTGATTGCGAAAAGGAAAATGTTGAAGACATAAAATTTCATATACATATAAGAAATCGATAATATTGATGTAGTTTTCAATCTTGTCTTATTTAAGATATCCTAACTCCTTCGAACATTTGGTTCTTTGCAGATATATCTACTCTACTCGGTATTCTTTTTATTCGAATAAATAGATCGTTGAGTGCATTCAATAGATTGATTTGTATGGTTATTCAAAGGATGATATTCTATTGATGAGAAATAATTTATTAAATACTTACCGAACATTAGATATACGTTCTTGATAAGCTTTTATTTGTTTATTTAAAAGTCCTTGAGAATAACAAAAGTTTTCAATGTGAATCTGCACGAAGTGCACGTACAGGTGTATTACAATTGGGAGAAAATTTTTCTAAAAAACAAAAAAAGAATAAAAATTAATTTGAAAGTTTTCTATAATTACAAAACAAAATCTAAACTTTTTGTTTTAAATGCTCGTGTTTGAAAATCTTTTATAAGTTGTTGTCGAATAGTTAATAAATTTTTTGTTGTTACTTCTATTTTAGTTGATGATGGTGGATTTAATTTCATATGTTCATTAATTTGTTCATAAAACTGTATCTAAACATTTTTTTTGGTCTAATATTCATGTTTTATAAATTGTTTGTAAATTATCTATTTCATTTGTTTGACCATGTTTTAAATAAAGCATTTGCATATTAAATAAATATTTTTCTACATTTCAACATTAAATTCTATGACAATAAAGACAACAACCACGAAGAACCTTGAAAACAGTGGCGTAGCCAGCAGGGGGCCAGGGGGAGCTGAGCCCCCCCTACGGACTTTTGAGCCCCTCCTGGCGAAATTTTAGAAAGACATATTCTTTTTATACCAAAATAGATTAGTGTTTTCCAATTTTACCTTTTAACATATATATTTAATTTTGTGCAACTCATATGTCTTTGAATAAAAGAAAATACAGTAAATGCGAATACAAGTTTTAATGAGGTTTATTAGGTTATGAGTAGTTTATTTCAGCTTTGCAGGTGGCTGCAGTGATTGGTTTGTATCAGAGTAAAGCGATGTCTGTTGTTGCGAAATCAGAATGAAAGTTCATACGTCTTAGGTAGATTGTATTGATCATTTTTAAAAAAATTTAGCTTTTTCTTAATTTATTAAATATTTTATATAAATTATTATTTACAATTATATAAAAATTTAACATAGTAATTGAGAGTGAAATATATAAATGTAAATATAAATATATAACAATATATATTATAACTAACGTTTCGAACGTAATACGTTTTTTTTAGAGTTAAAAAATTTTGTTCTTGAATGAGAATAAATATGTGGTTGAATCTTCTTCTTTTTATTCTTCTTCTTTGCTCTTTTCTTGCCTATTTGAATTTTTATACCGGAATGGACGAAGAAACTCAATTTTTACAAGCTAGTTCTCTTTGCCCATTCCAGTACATACGTTTAAATAGGCAAGAAAAGAGCAAAAAAGAAGAATAAAAAGAAGAAAGTTCAACAGCATATTTATTCCCATTCAAGAGCAAGGTTTTTGTGTACTCAAAAAGTAAGTACACTCTAGAATCGGTCAGTGTGTCCAGCCGAGCGACCGGCCGTTTACGTGACAACTTTTGAAAGCAGAGTTCAATCATGATGAAATTTTCTACACAGTTTTGTCTCAACAATATCTCGGTTTAGTTCGAAGATGAACCCAGGCCAATCAATCCGACACGGATCCGATGGTATCTTATAGGATCCAACGAGTCCTACAAAATCCGATCGGAATCCGGGTCACGATCCGACGAACAAATCCTAGTGCTGGAATCCGAGAGACATCCGATCGGATCCGAAAGAGATCCGATCAAATTCAACAGTCGGATTCGATAGGAACTCCAGCAGTCGGATTCCGACGAGATTCCTATAGTATCCTATCGGATTCCGATCGGATTCCAATACTATGGATCCGTTAGTCGGATCGTGACCTGGATCCAATAAAATCCTATAGGATCTGGATAGGATTCGATAGGATCCGATGGGATCCACTGTCGGATTGTTCGTCCTGGGAGAATGAGTGTCCGAGCCATTGGTGAGTTATTGTAAAAATAATTATTTTCCCTTATGCTTTCCTATGTGAGGATCAACCAGTCCCTGCTTTTGTAAAAGGCTTTCCCGATCATGGTCACATAAAACCCCAATTATTATATACCATTCGACAGAGAATTTCACGAGCTACAAAATGGTATATAAAGCATCAAGAAACAAGGAAGCTAACTCACCTATTGCAAAGATAAATAAACGGAAATCGGTTCTGTTCTTGTCCACGCTCTAATTGATCCACAATTAGAGCTCTATCTTCTGATCGCAAAGGCGATACTCCAGGGTTTTTCGGGATGGAGAACTCGAATTTGTACTCCACTTGCCTCGAAGCTCCATTGATTGAGCACTGACCAATAGAAATCAAGTTATAGGGAAAACGACTTTCTTAGAGTAAATCAAGGCGAAGGCCCCGAACATCGACTAATTCAAAGTGAATTAAAACTGAATTAACGAATAAATCGTCTCAAAAAGACGATTTAAATCGAAATAGACCAATCATGTTGCGTAATTCGTTTTATTTTTTTCTGTATGCCAGGGACCAAATAGTTCAAATGTGAGCTGTATTCACCACCAAATCCTATTGGTTGAGCAGTAGCCAATTGAATTCAAATGTCAATAGAAAAGGTTTCCCCGGCTAATTTTTATATCCAGATATTCTAGGATGACTGATTTGTCTCATTCACTTTTTGAAGTACACATAACTCTCGGATATAAATCCAAGGTTTCCACATTTATTTCATCTATTGTTGTTATTTCAATTGAATGAAGATCGAACATCTTTTGCCATTTTATATTTGTTAGCTCAGCTTATATTTTGAGGAAAGAATTAGAATAAACAACAATCAACTCTATATTGGGTTAACAGATAAGTTTCATATACTTAAGATGGGCCGAAAATTTTTGAGGGGCTGAGCCCCCCCTAGCCCAAAATCCTGGCTACGCCACTGCTTGAAAATTACAAAAAAATATTAAAAAAAAAAAGATTGAAGAAAATTTATTTATTGTCATTTACATTAACAAGATTGAAGAAAGAATACGGGATTGTAAACACGTCAAACAAGTTATATATGTCCAAGATCCCATGGACAAACAACAAATCCCTTGATCACAAGTAAAACAACGATCATTTTTTTATCAAAGGGTCCTAATGCTAAATCATATGGACTATCAGATACTGGTGCACCAAGACGATCAATTGCTTGTGATGATGTTAATTCTTTTACAGTTAAACAACGAATTTCTTCAGATATATAATTATTAAATAGAAGACTACCAATTGTGGTATCGGATGGATAATAATTGATTGTCTCCATCTTCTTTTCTACTTTGAAAATAAATTAACTAAAAATTTATCGGATGGATTTCAGATCCCTCTCAAACGTCGTCAATGGTCTATTAGAGAGAACCGATTAGAAATAATATGGAAATTTTTATATATTAAACAATTGAAAAAAATTTCATTTTAATAAACGAAAAATTTGATTTATATCAAAAATAAAAGTTTTTATTTCTCTGAAAGAGGACGCCACAATATGATGTCATATGTTTTTTTTGTTACTTCACAATTTAACAGAAACATTTCCTTTTTTTCTATAGCTAACATTCTCTTAACAAATCTATTTAGAGTAGATATCTTTAATATATGATATAGTTGAAGAAAACTAATTTAATTGTTCTTTTGTAATTATTTATCTATAATTTAAATTTGAATAATATCATTTTTACTAGCAATAGCATTGTGCTTTTATTTAAATAATAACTAAGAAGAATATGTTCTCACATGGAACTAGATGGTATTCGAGTTTTACTTGATTGTAAAATCCGATGGGAAGATTCGAGTGTCGATTCTTTATTTATCTAATAATCGTAAAAAGAAATAATCAGTTATATGAATAAAATCAAAAGTTTCTACCATTTGAGAATATTAGAATTAAATCTTTGCCCGCCGACATAAGAGAAGAAGGAAACGATTTTGGAGAAAGTTTATTTATCTTTTATGGAATGGTTCTATAGTTTGTCTTTGTAAAATGGTATGCTGAAGAGCGCACAGTATCCAGTGCTTGTTCTTATCTAAATGCATCTGAAAAACATTGATTACGATTGATTGCATCAAGTTTAGACACTGATAAAGTCCATGACGTTTATAAATGGCGGCGGGGGCCAAAGGGTTAATATCATATTAATATAAGGTAACATACAACCGCCTAAAATAATATTATCTAATGTTGGACTTGACATACGAATATATCTAAATGAAATAAAATAAACAAATTCAATTATCCTTTATTTTCTCTTTTACCTATGTGATCGAAAATGAATATTAAAAGCAATAAAAGTACATGATATAAACAATCCAATTCCACAACATATTGATATTGATATAAATACTGACAAATAAATATGTTCAAATTGAATTGTTTGATTTGTTCGATCTCGTGATGGACCATTTCCTTAGCAAAACAAACCTATTAGCACAATCTTTACAGAATTAAAATGTGGAGTAAGATGTTATTATTTTTTCTAACTAATGGAAAATTGTTCTATTCTATGTATTTTGGGATGCATTTCTTCACTATCCTTTTAACGGATGGGCCAAAAATTTTCAAATAATATATTTCTTCATTTTTGGATCGTTTAAGATAATTAGCAGAAGCTATAAAATATTGGTTTAACATCAGAATTTTGTGTACTTTATCAATGTAGGTTAGGAATTTTTATTAGATTTATATTTCAGGAGTTATTAGTCAATTTATGAAAGACCTGAGAATAAAGTTTGAACGGATTTCATAACCTATCGCATTCTTATGCTCATATGCATCCGGTTTTTTTCTATTGATTGAACGTACATGAAGAACGTTCCACGAAGTAAATCAATAAAACATAACTCAAATTTCACCACTGTCAATACAAGCTCTTCTCGCATTGCATCGATAATTCATTTCATGGAACTACATGAATAATAGAACGTAATAGTGAATCATATTGACTATGGACGATTCCTTTACTCTATTATCTCTGAATTTTTAACGAATATCATAGATATTTCGATTAGTAAGATATAAGCAGTAATTATCTGGATTTGTTTGAATTAAGATAAAATTACAATATAATAAATCTATCCTAAATGAAATTGATTTTTTTATGGCAAAATATTGTTGAAATGTTATACGTTATCTAAACTTCATTGTTTATTCTTTCGAAGGAGACAATCGCGAGTTCTCTTATATTTCTAAGAATTTCTCTTTACAAAAGAGATAAGATCTTCATGAATCGACATCAAGATAGTTCTATACTCCTGACACATTTTCATTTTAGAATATCTCAAAACTTTCAACGCATCCATTATTTAATCATCAACGTCTGTAATGGTGTTTAACTAACATCTATTATATTGCCTTGATTACAGGATGTACGATCTGTGAAAAGTTCAAATATTTCCTCCTATACTTCAACACTCGTTTTAGATCATGTTCTATCAAAGAGAAAAAGAATATTTTCTAATAAAATAAAAACAAACCATGCCACATAATTGGATTAAGTTTATAGAAACATTGGTGAACCATCTTTTCATTCTAAATATTTGGCAAGAAAAATTTTCACAACAGTTAAATGACAATCATCTTCTTCTTCATAACATGGAATTGTACATGTTTTATCTTTCATCATTCGACAACGCGAAATTTTATATTGAAATTTTATTAAAAAAAAAAAACCTAATTGTTTTTTCTTAAATATTTTTCTTATCAATAAATTGTTCAATAAGTCCTTGACCTATTCGTCCACCATTTAAATACCTGACTCTTACCTAAAAATTTAACAATATTGATAAATATTCTTTGTTTTTGTTTTGTTTCCTTATCTAATTGACTTACAGTAGCATCAATAAAATCAATATTTTCAATAACATTTTTAAATATTCCACTAATCGATTGATTACTTAATAAATGTGATTGATAAAGATATGCTAAACTCCATATTGTATCATATACATAACCATCAAAATAATCTTTTTCTAATTTAGAAAATTGTTTTAGATATTCCGTTATATATTCTGATGGACTCTAAAAAATAATTGAAAAACAAAAACAAAAATTGTTTTGTTTTTCTCAATAGATTTTAAAAAAAATAGTTCATTATCATCAATAGATAAAGGTGGTAGACGTGTTTGTAATGTACCATTAATTACATGAATTATTTCTTGGATTGAACAATCAGTTGGTTGATTCCACCAAGTTGATAATGATGGATAACCAAGAATAATCCATTGATAACGATAACCATAACACTTGTTCACGAGCTGACTATCCTTTGAAAAAAAATAAGAAATTTTGTTTTTTCTTGAATTTTATCATATATACCTGACAAAACATATGAGTAGCAATTGTTTTATTAAAATTTCCATTAATTATTCGTACATCATCTCAAGCCTTCAACAAAAAAAAGAACGAGAAAAACAAATGTTTTGTTGAAGAATTTAATGAACAATATATTACTTTAAAATCTTTTTACAACGACATTTAATTATAGAGGAATATATATTTTATTCTAACTAGATGACAATCATGCGTCAGTAACAGGCAAAACGTTGTTATTCTAAAGGAGTACTAGTTGACATAGTTTTCGAGTTGAATATTATTTCGAAAACTAATCATAATCTCTAGAGATTATCTTATGACAATAAAAAAAAATAAAATAAAATAACATTACTATTGAGAGTTAGCTGTTAGAAAGTGTATTATTTTTTTTTCTGTATGTAAAAGCTGGAAAATCTATTACGTTTACAGGGAAGATCGTTGAAAAAAAAGGAGAAAATAATGTAAAGGTGATGTTGAATACTTTCATAGATCATCCATTGATATATGAATGTTTTTGTTTTGGTAAACATAAGTCATCTATTGGATTGTGTTTGGTAGAAGAACATTTTTAAAAACATCCAATATTTGTTTATTTAGATTATTTTTCAATAAATACGAAAAAATATTTCTATTTAATCAACGTTATAAATCAAAAAAAAACTGTTTCATATAAAAGTTGAGATCAAAATTATATTATGTTAGGGTGAGAACAGTAGAATATTCACGAAAAAAACATATGTCTAAGAAAATAATTCAATAATTTATGTTTAAAGCTAATTCATCAAGTTTGTTGCTAATATTAACGTAAGCAATGTCAATGTTGAGCCTAGATATAAGCGAGAGTCTTTCTTTTTTATCCTGACAGAATCGAGATTGAAACCATCGTGCTCGTATCTAGCTGAAACTCTTCACTGTTTTAACCCATGCAACCAAACAGAGAGCTCAGCCAATTTCAACCTTCAAATCCCCACTATCAAAACCCTGGTTATGCCTTCAGACACTAATATTATTTCTAAATTATTATCATTATTATGAATAGTTCTTGTCACTTCGTAGATGTCGGTTATGTACAGTAATTTAAAAACAAACGAGAAAAAAAAAGAGAAATGTTTGGTAAATGTTAATGCACAAAAAGTTTTAAATGATTTTACAGATATGACTATGAGTTTTTGATCTTTCAATTCGCGTGAACGTTTTTGAAAATCCATGAATTATCATATGGAATTTAAGTTCCCAGGTCGAGAAGAACGAATAAAAAAACGCGTTCGGAACGTACTTCGCGAACGCGTACGGAATAAGTAGTTGTGCACGCGTTCGCTACGTTCCGAACGCATTTTTTTTTCGTTCTGCACGCGTGCATAGTGCATAAGCACGCTAATGGCACACCCTCAAGAGTTTCTTTCTATTGGTCCTATAAATGATCATTCAAATTTAAGCCTCGTTCATCAATACATCCGATTCATCATTTATTTCAAATTGTTTCATATTTTACACCAAAAGACAAAACAGTGGCGGATCTAGAATTTTTGGATACGCCATATCTCGACTTTGGAGCATGGGACTAAGATGAAACTTATGGAGGATGATATTGGACCCAAATATTAACTTTTTACAAAAAAATTTTTTCGATTGAAGTTTGCGAAAAAAAAATGATTTTTTTAATCGCCTCCAGTCCAATTTTTTTTGCATTTAGTAGTATTCGCTTTTTAAGAATTTTGCCTTAATCTACATCGAATTTCATCAACAGATTTCAAATTTCATCGAAAAATATGCATCCGATCAGAAGTTATAACATTTTGAATTTTTTTGTTAAAAAAATTTTTTTTTGCAAAAATTGAAAACGTTATAACTCCTGAACGGATGCATATTTTTCGATGAAATTTGAAATCTGTCGATGAAATTCGATGTAGATTAAGACAAAATTCTTAAAAAGCGAATACTACTAAATGCAAAAAAAATTGGACTAGAGGCGATTAAAAAAACCATTTTTTTTCGCAAACTTCAATCGAAAAAATTTTTTTGTAAAAAGTTAATATTTGGGTCCAATATCATCCTCCATAAGTTTCATCTTGGTCCCATGCTCCAAAGTCGAGATATGGCGTATCCAAAAATCCTAGATCCGCCACTGAGACAAAACATGTTCATAGATATGAGCACAATCGAAAAAAACTAATAGAAAATCACTCAAAGGCATCACAAAAAAAAACCAATAGACAATAACAACAAGTGATGTCTGAAGAAAGATATAATTTCACATAGGGTTTCACTCTAAAAATATCATTTTCATTTACATGTTCGAGAGAATGAGAAGAGGAAAAAAAGTAATACACAATGAATGTGTAGAGGAAAAAGAATTTCGATCAAGTGGTGATTACCTAATGACAATAAAAAAAAAAAATAAACAAAACTTTTTCAAAACTTCATGTTGTTCAGACACTATAGAAAAAAATTCGAGTGCGTGTAACATAAAAAAACAAACTCACCTTTTTCTACAGAATTATCTTTCACAAAATGAATCGAATATCTAGCAGCAAGAATTTTTTGTTGATATCTTTTGTTTTATTGCCTTTGTAGTGAACGATGTAAAGAAATCAAAGGATAGTTATATTTGGTCAAATTGAAAGAAAAATATTACAATAAGCCGAGTATCGATTTAGTGACTGTTTTGAATTTTTTTTTCATTATTTAAAGATATTTTCATAATAAAGTTGATGATTTAAAATCTAAAATTAAAAAAAAATTAAATGAATATTTTCACCTTCAACCATCGAAATTCATTTTATACATATAATGTCACATCCATATTATTTATCGCATTGTTATGATTCCATAAAGGAGGTACTATAGTCAGTCTCTACACTGGTGCGACGCGAACGCCACCAATACGTTCTGAACGGCGATAATCACATTGAACGCGTTTCGATCGCATTGCGCACGCATTTTTGCACGTTCTGTCGTTCCGAACGCGATTTCTTTCCGTTCTTCTCGACCTGGGTTGAATAAAACAATTTGAATGAATGAACGAATGTTCTATATATTTGTTAATATAATTGTAATATTTATTATAGTTTTGCTTCATTGATCGAGTGGATTTATTTTAGATGGATGAAAATATACTTCGTTCACGTCAAAAAGTAGCAAGTAAAAGTGATGAGAAAAGTTCCGATCAAGAAAAAGAAAAGATGTTAATAAAAAATCGAAAACAAACTGGTGAAAATAATGATTTTGGTGATATAGAAAAAGTTCCATCTAATATTGAAAATATTATGGAGAAATATTTTGTTACGTATATTTATTTGGGAATTATATTTTGGTAAGACAACTTTTTAATGATGATCATTATTTAAAGAGAATAATTATTTGTTCTTTTCAAGGATATATTTTTTGGAGAATTTTTTTTGCCATTGGTTCAATGGTTATGTTTTTGTCCCATGGTGAAATTAGTTATTCATGGTTATCAAGTATTAATACTTTGTTTAGCAAGTCCAATTATAGTTTGCCCTTCATTAGTGAATAATATTGCACAACGTTAGTTTTCTTTCTTTTCTGGAATCTTTCGAAATGAAATTGTTCTTTGTTTTTGTTTTTCCTATAGAGTACTGTTGGAAAATTAATTATTAGTGTTATTATCATTTCAATTAGAAGATCCTCTATTGCGATTATTAATACTTTCATGTGGTACTTGTGCTGTTATGATTCATCTTTGTACAAGTCTTAATTGATGATATTATTCATATAGGTAAGTATTTTTAATTGAATTTTAAACATTAGAGAATAATTTATTATTTTTTCATATTTAGATCAATTCTTGTTTGGACATTGACAAATAGTTTTTTTTTTTTCTTTCTTAGTCTTCGTATTTGTTTTGTTAAGTTATATACCAGCATGATCGAGTGTGATGGCAAATTTAATAGATTTTCTCATTGAACATTGGAACAATCATTGATCAATTTGGAAGAGGTAAAGCATTAGTAGTTTTATTAATCAACCTTTAGTTAAGATTTAATCTTCAACATGTAGAGATGTCTATGACAGTGCTGGCATCACAGTGGCACTTTTTTTAAAAACTACTGCGGCGCGTCAGCGAGAGATGTCCAATCTTGATGAATATCTTTGATACATAGAGTGTTTCATAGATTTCAAACCTCGACGAAAATTTATTGATATAGAGACATGAAACGATTTCTAACTGAATAGATCTATATTGGTTTAATAGCCATGTAACGTTCACAAAACATTGACTTTTACTTGATGGATTTTAGTTCTTTGTAGAGAATAGCTGAGGATAGAAAATCTTATATCGAAAGTTTTTTCTGAAGATATCTAGATTTTTCAAAAACAATCGATTAACTTTTCATTAGGAATTTGTTTATGAAGAATTAATTATTAATTAATAAATTAAAATTGATTTTTTGTTGTTGTTCCATAGACAATACAATGTGTCAATAACTCCCATCAATATCATTTAATTTATCTTCAACAAAATCTACACTTGGTATCGTATCTTATCTTATTTCTTTTTTTCTTTTTCATTTCTGTTAATTGAATGAATGAAAGCTTTTTTTTTTTTATTACATCGTTTTGTTTTCTTCTATTTTTAGGAATCAATCCATTACGTTCAGCATCACGTGAAAATATATTACAACCAAATTGGTTATTAGTTGATATTGGATTTGGTAGTTTATTATTTTATCTTCAATGGGTATTTGGTGATCTATCAGTTGTTAGTCGATGGGGTTCGAATGATTTTCCTAAATCAATCACTCGATCCAATACCTTATGGGTAAAGGAGAAGATATTTGTTATTTTCTAACTAAAAAGGAGATCATCTTTTTCTTTTTTTTCGTTTTGAACTCTTCTCATATGGTTTGGTTTATATTGTGGTATTGTAATAATCAATCGTCTTAGTATAGTAACAAATCGATGGTGGGTATCAGTAGGTTTTCTTGCTTCTGGTTTGTTATATTTCAGTCGTGGAAATGTTTCATTTATGAGTAAATGAAAAATTTTATTTTATGTATTTGATTAGTTTTTTTTTTTTTTTTTTTTGAATTTTTTCAAAAAAGGTGCTTTTGCTCTAAGTATATTTATTGGATCAATACTTCCATTATTATTTTATAAAATAGCTCGTGCTCTTTCAGCACATATTGTTTTTATTGCTAATTTTCCATATATTATTCAATTTATTTATGCTGTTTGGACAAGTGCTTAGAATTTTGTTCCGTTTGGTGGACACATAAACACGATAAACATATCATATTTTAGTATTCTTTTATTTTCTTGCCATTTATTTTGGAGTTTATACTGCTCGTAAGAAAATTTCAACGAATATTTTATTGTTATAAATAAATAAAAACTATCTATTTAGAACATAATTTAGGAAGGTTATATACGTGCTCGTATCTAGTCAATAAAGTTACCAAATCGTCAAATTTGGTCAGGTGAGAATTAGTGACGTTATTCAACGGTAGGTGTGGAGAGGGATGGAGCTCACAATGAAGGTCTCTCAATTGATAAAATGCTTTTGAGTCAAGACTACGTGCATTATATAGAATCAAATGAACTTTGAATACTCTGAAAGTAGTTTAGGCCATAGATTATTGTTGCGGACATACTGGAGATTTATCGTAGTTTTTAAATGAATGCCATGGTACCTCTCAGGACTCTGTTGTTGCCTTTTAAATACCATCATTCTATTGGAACGTAGATGACATTTTAATCCAAATAGACTTCGGCAGAGATTTAAATTGTTTATTTATATCATAGTTTATAAATAATGACAATAAAGACCTTTTAAATAAATAGAATCAGATGACATAATGATGAGAGTGAGAGTGTTGATGAGGGCGAAGCCTCTCTTCTATCTACAGCTCGCACTCATATCCACATCCTATTATAATCAAGCGTTGTCCTTGTTGTACTGAAAGAAGATTTTGATAGTAGAAGAAATTTTTTCGGAGGAGCATTTCTACCGAGAAGATTTTTGTAAAGGACGCGTTGTTCTGTACGGTGACAACATCGAGATATCTCTCCTCTCTCATGGTTATCCTTATACTTCTCTCTTGGTTGTGTATATAAACGTGTGTTATCTGTGTGAATAATGTGCGAAAGTCGAATGAAGTATAATTCTATTCGCGCTAGTACTTCTTCTATGAAAAATGATCATAAGGAATACTAGAAAAATTCATGTTAGAATTTCGAGTAGAAACTTTTTATAGAGACGGTCTTTAATGAGAATAGTTTCTTATCAATGTTTTACATCTTGTTGCTCTTGTTTCTATCGTTAACCTTCTAAACCTTTTTTTGGTGGGTCTAGCTACACTCACAACGTCGTTTTTCGTTTTCTGCTACATAAATACTTATTCTTTTTCCGACTAATCTCTTTTCTAATCGTTATCCTGCTAACAATATAAAAAGATCTTATTAACTTTCATAAGTATCAGAGAAAAAATTCAATGAGGGATCTATATGAAACAATTCAATCGTCATATTGATTTTATTGTATTTTGTTCGTTATAGAATATAAAAAAGAAATTTCACTCGTTTTTAATGAGTAGATTAATATCATGATGCATATGAAGAGATTTACTCATGTATGCTATAGTCAGATCTCTAATTTGACCTTCTTTCATACTATTTTAATATTCTACTGTTATTATAATCTATTAGAATAATTTCTTTTAATCAGCAACAATAAGCTAAAAGTCTGAATTTTTTTCAGGATGTTTAAAACTGATTTCGATCTACATAATAGATATAGTCCCGACTCAAAAACGATTGATCACCCTGGAAGAGTTTCCTCTTTAGCCCTTTCTAATCTCCGTCTATTTATGCTACTAGTGAGAAGTCAATTGATTGATGAGAGAAAAAGATTCTTTTTTATTTCACCATTTGGTATTGCCTTTCTAATTGCATCTATTGGTACATATTCACGTTTTCTTCTTTTACCATCAACATCATTACGCAAAGCAGAAGATGTTCGTTGTGTTTTGTTTTGGCAATAATTTTTATCTGTAAATTCGTTTTTTTTTATAATTAGCCAACCAACTTATCTTACTGCTGCTGTTTGGACAGTTCATTTTGGTTATGATAATAATGCTCGTCCAACTCTTGATCGTCTTGCATCCGTACTTGCTGATACGAGTTAGTAAAAATTCTATTATTTGAATAATTATTTTTTTTGACTATCAACTTAGATGCAGATCTTATTGGTCTTCTTGAAAGAGATACAGCAAAAACATTTTTTCGAAATAATGATTTAACATCTTATTTAGGAGAGAAAAATGACATATGTTTACAGATTTTGGTCGATCAACAAAAGATCATACTTAGGGGTAAAATAAATAAATAGAAATAAACAAAATAATTTTGTATGTTTCTTTTTTTCAGATGTATTATTCTTTGAAAATATCCAATTGTTCGATCAGTACATTATTTATTAGCATCATCAGAAGGTAAATATTTGAAAATATAAACGATAAATATATCTAGAAAATGATATTAGGCGAACTTGCTCCGGCTGTTCTTGCAACAATTCAAAGAGCAAGGAAATTAATTGATATAATTATTGTTCATATGGGTAATGATCGAGATGATTTAGATAGAAAATTACAAGGTGAAACATGACGAGATATTATGAAAAATAGGTTTGATATTTTATTCTTTTTTAGAAATAAAGTAGATTTTTATTTTTTATTTTAGTACTAATCCATTAGTTTTTCTTGGTTATATAACATCGGAACGATTTAGTCGTGATTATCGAACAATAACTTCAGTTGGAAAATATATTGATCCAAGAGATAAAGATCGATGGTGTCAATATATTTTATATAAAAATTTAATTCAGTAACATTTCATATTTTTTATTTGAATTTTTATTACGAGGATAAAATTCATTTTAGTATTGGTTATGCTCGAATTACTCATGGAACGTTTGACTGATAGAGAAATTCCAATGGCTACATTTAAGATTCTAACAAGTGAAAAATTTGATGATCATTCAATTTTAGTTACTCATCCATCAGTTGTTACTGAACAATCAGTTCTTTTTAATTCAAACTAGAATTTATCATACGATATATATTAACTTTTTCTTTTTGTTAATAATCGTTTTATTTTTCAGAGAAAGTTTTCGATCATTCTACAGGGGACATGATTATTTTAATACTCATCGTTTTCATATCGATACACCAGTACGTTTATTTCTTTTCTGTATTTTAGTTTAATAAAATTTTTATTTTTAGATATATTTTTTTGCACGTCAACATCAAACTAATTAATGTCGATTAAAATAAAAACTTTTTTCAACAAATTGACTGTGATTAAACTGCTAATATTTCTCTTTTTTTTTTCTCTCCTTGAATTAAAATTGTGTATTTCCCTATCTATTTAAAAGATTCGTATAAACCTTTTTCTATGATTAATCTTACTTAGTTCTTTTGTTTTTTTTTTGCCTTAATAAAAAAAAAACGAATCTTTTGATCAATAAAATATTTTTCTTTTAATATATTATTCTCAACAATGTCAACCTTTTATTGATTTTACTCACAACATAATTCAACCGTTACAAAACACAGAAGTTATTCTAACCATTAGCAGGCTTACCAAACCTCCTCATTTTCTTACTTTTCTCCTCATAGAAAATCTTCGAAATTCAGGAACTCATTTTTATGATTTTCTCCTGTTTTCAGGTTTTTTTTGTTTTTGCATGACGATTAGAAATACGTTGACCCAATAGAGACTTGAAA